GAAAGACTTCAATGAAAGGATGAAAAAAGAATGTTTAGCTTCTAACAAATATACATAAAATTAAATTTTTTAAAAAGAATTTGCTTAAAGAAAAGCAACTCATCCAGAAAAGAAAAAATATTTAATTTGCTTTTTTTTTTGTTTTTTATCCTCACCCGAGGACATTTTTCCATTTTTTGTTCGGGTAGAGTTGGAGGAAGAGAGAGAGAGAAACTGCAACCGAGGTACGTGCCCTTAGCGGGAACCGAACCCGGGTCTCTCTGGACCACAGGCCAACGCTCTAACCGCTGAGCCAAACCAGTCAGGGCCAATTTGCTTTTTAATCAGACCCTGGGTGTTCTCTTATGGCCCCAAAATATCTATTCTTTGTGCCTTAGAGAGGATTAAGATCTCATTTTCATTTATTTAAAATCTGTTGACTTGAGGGAGTTAGAAACTTTGTGTTTGCAAGTTGTAATTAAACATTAAGTTTAACTAATTGCAATTTGAAGAATTTACTACTCTGAAATCAAAAAGCTCAGCAGAATTTTCTTTGCTTCTCAATGATAAGTCAAATTGTGGAAATGCTGACTGCTGTTTAATGTAAAATCTTATTTCCATGAAGAATATTTCATTCCCAGCCACCCAAAACAGTGATGACCTTAATCAGAGAAAAAAAGACCTTACTACAATAATCAAATCATCCAGATTACAAAACTAATACGTGTTAATAGTGCATTGGGCTAGTCCTTTCTGGTGACCATCTGATTGAATGTATAGATGAAGAATATTAAAATATTCTGTGTGTTGAATGTACATTTCTATGCATCTATTTCTAGGCATCAGATATGACCTCTATCCAAATACTTCTCCTTATGGAACTGTGGTTCTAAAAGATTCTTCTAGAAAGCAGCACAAATTTCATTTGCCAAATAAATCACATGACCATGCCCACCGTTCATGCTTAGGACTATATCTCTCCCACAGAAAAGGATTGCAAATATTAAAACACACACATGCACACACACACACTCATTCACACTCACTCACATACATGATGAGAGAGCACATCCTCTTGGTCACAAACTATTTGTTTCCCCTCCCTACTTTATTCAACAATTTCTACCCTTTCTGCAAGAAAACTTATCCAAGCGATCTTCCAATCACAGTATTGTTCTCAAGGTCAAAGATCTACTAGTGTCTGCCTCAGATCTCCACGGCTTCTCTTGCTCCGGAATTGTACCTGCTCAAAAGGCATGTGTTGCACCTTCCCCTCCACAATATAATGTAGCAAAACAAGGAAAGGACAATTGCATGAAAACACCCATACAGAAGGGATAAATATTCAAAATAACAACGACATTTGTAACAACCAGAAAAAATAATCCAAAAACGTATGTGGAACCACAGAAGACCCCAAGTAGCCACAGCAATCTGGAAAAGAAGAACAAAGTTGGAGGTATCATGCTATCTGATATAAAACTATATTACAGGGCCATAGTAATCAAAACAGAATGGCACTGGTATAAAAACAGACACATGGATCAGTGGAACAGAATAGATAGCCCAGAAATAAACCCATACTTATATGGTTAATTAACCTATGACAAAGGAGGCAAGAATATACAATAGACTAAAGACAGACATTTCTATAAATAGTGTTGGAAAAACTAGACATATACATGCAAAAAAATAAAACTGCTTTCTTATACCATATACAAAAATAAACACTTAATTTATTAAACACTTAAATGTAAAACTCAAAAACATAAAATCCCTAGAAGAAAACATAGGCAGTAAACTCTTTGACATCACTCTTAGTCATAATTTTTTTTGGATGTCTTTTTGGTCAAGGAAAACAAACAAACAAACAAACAAAATAGATGTATTTACATCACACTAAAAACATCTGTAAAGTGAAGGAAACCATCAACAAAAGGAAAATACAACCTACTGAATTGGGGAATATATTTGTTAATGATACAGGTGATAAGGGGTTAATATAAAAAAATATGAAGAGCTCATACAACTTAAACACACACACACACACAAAAACATTCCAATTAAAACATGAACAGAGGACCCGAACAGACATTTCTCCCAAGAGGACATACAGATGGCCAATAGACATGTGAAAAGATACTGCAACACAACATCACTAATCATCAGGGAAATACAAATTAAAACCACAATAACATATCACCTCATACCTGTCAGAATAGTATCAACAATAAATCAACAAGTAGTGGCAAGGATACGGAGAAAAGGGAACTCACATGCGCTGTTGGTTGGATTTCAAAGTGCTGAAGCCACAATGGAAAACAGTATAGAGGTTTCTCAAAAAATAAAAATAGATCTAACTTACAATCCAGCAATTCCACTTCTGGATATTTAACTAAAGAAATCCAAAACACTAATTAGAAAAGATGCATGCAGTCCTATGTTCATTGCCGCATTCTTTACAATAGTCAAGAAATGTAAACAACCTAAATGTCCATCAAGAGACAACTGGAGAAAGAAGTGGAACATGCATACAATGGAATATTACTTGGCCATCAAAAAGAAGAAATCCTGCCATTTGCAATGGCATGGATGGATCTTCGAGGGTATTTTGCTGTTTTGAAAATGAAAATCCGAGCCTGGAAGTCAGAGAACCACTTACAGTTCTACATCACCTCACATATCTCTAAAGCTCACCAACACCTTTCTGGGTTCATGTCTCTGAGATACAAATGCACCAATAGCAAATGGGAGATAGCAGGTACACACCCATTCACTAAATCCCACAAGCTTGTTCTGCACGTCACCTGTCTTGCAAGGTATTTCAGGGAACGAATATACCATACATGACGACACCACAGCACGGGTGGCCGACGATGGCCTTCAGCAAGTTTTCTAGCCTCTCCTTCGGGCACTGGAGCCAATTTCACAGAATTTAAAATCTCTTTGTTGTTGTTGGAATGACCAGAGCAGTCAGCTTTAAGTTTTCCTGTAGTAATAAATAAACAAATCCAAAATGTCAGTGGCCTGCCGCCACAAAAATGATTTTTCCCAGCGAAGTCTCTCCTACTCCGTGTCCTCTTCATTTCAGGGTTCGTGCTGAGAGAATACTGTCCGTGTGGTACCCGTGGGGCTCGCGACATCAGACATCGCAGAGACACGTGGGAAAGCAAGCACGACAGAGCCCTGCGTGGGCTGTCCAAGCCCTGATTACGGACACACAGCCTCTGCTCAGAAGGCACAGCAACCGTGCCAGGCCAGCCCGATGCTGATGGTCTGGGACGAGCAGCTCTTTTGCAGAGAGGTGCCGATAACCTGACCGTCCGCAGAACCACGACCGTCGCTCCCCGCACACGAACAGCCTGCTGACCAGCCCTCCGGGAACTCGGGCTTCAGGAGCCTTAGGACCCTGCACAGTTTTATCATTTCCTTGCCAATGGCTCAGTCCCAAGCAATTTTTAAAGCCTCTACTGACACACACACAGGTTTACTGATCGTCATGTCAGACAAGGACTTGCAGGTTGAAACCATTCACAGGAATAACAGCCACGGTTCTCTTGAGACTTGCTGCTGCATTCCTCTTCCGACCTGCGGCCCGCGGTCCAGCCCTCCGCACGCACACAGGCAACGGGCAGCATGTGTCCCCACGGGAAGACATCAGGGGTGCAAGGCCCACCCACAGGCCCACACAGTGAAGAGCAGGAGCCGAGCGGGGGCCTCGCTGGGCAAACCCTTCCCAGGCATGGACTGTGATCAGGGAGGACATCTAGTTTGCCTGACTGGAATACTTTCGGTTAAAAAGTAACCCCCCAAATGCGGAGTGTTCTCTTATCTCATGACCCCTTGTGATATTAATTCAGTTTTATTTCTCCAATTCCCAGCTGCTGGGCACTACCTGGAAACTCTTCTAACTGGGGAACCACTGGGTGTCTGGTTGGGTGGGTGGTTGGTCTGGACTCGGGCAGGTGCAGGGACTCGAACACCACCTGCAGTAACTGTTGCCGTGTGGTGACGGTCGCACCATCACACTGACCGTCGGGACTGTGCTTTGTTCAGAAAACTCTTTCTTTGCAGCTGCAGCTGAAACCACCTGTCTGTGGCAGGTAGGCCCCGAGGACATCACACTGAGGCCTCTCCCACACTCCATCAGCCATTAGTGAGCGGACCTCACACGACACAGGACGGCTATGCTCCCGTCAACACCACAGAGCACAGGGGAGAGTGTGTATCACAACCTGTGTCGTGCTGTAGAATCACAACAAATACCGTATTTCCCTGATACGTAGGCTGAAAGTTAACACACCGAGCCTCGGTGATCCTGTGCCCATACATCAACACACACACACACACACACGCACACGGGCATGTGCCCACGCTGAAAATATTTGAATTGTTCAAATCAAAACCAAGTGCAGCCTGAGCCCGAAGGCACCCTGAGCAGACAGAATTGGTGGGTCACCCACAGCTTCATGCTGCGTACGTGACGAGGCCAGCTTAAGCCGGGTCACTTCATGCTCATGCCCCTGGGCAGCCTTGCAGAACTCGGACTGTTCCCCAGGGTCAGTGGGAGGGAGCCCCTGCAAAGTCCCGCAGCCTAACCACTCGCTGCCAAGGACAGTCGCTGCCTCCTCCCTCCGTCGCTGCTTGGTGACAGCACCCCTGAGCCACACCGCGTCTCGGTGCGTGTCCCCCTGGTTGCCAGCTGTCCCTTCTGTGTGCCCGGTAAACCTGGACTGATTGCCACCTCGGTGATTTCCTGCTTTGACTCCAGCTACTTCTACACCCTTGAGAGAAACCCCAGCATGTGGGTAAAAATACACTCTCAGCACCACAAGGGTGAGCGTGTTGTCTCGGTCATATTTTCTTTCCTTTCAGTAAGTTACATTTGTAAACTGATGTTGGTGTTTAAGATGCCAAGATTTTTATGCCAACGAAAGCCCTCTGCCAGTAGGGGAGACAATGCTTTCAGGACGCCCTGGAAAGCTACTTTGACGTTGTCTGGCGTAGCTGACTCGGGGTACCTGCTCCGGCTTCTGGTGGAGCCTCTGTCTGAGGCCTTCCACGCGGGACCGCAGCGTCTCGGCTTCGGCCGCGTTCCGGGCGGCGCGGTGGCTGGCGTGCGTCAGCTCTGCTGCTGTCGCCTGGTGCCGGCCAGCCGCTGAGTCTGCGGCGGGCGTGTTGCGGGGCCAGCAGTTCCTTCAAAACAAAGCAGGGACCCCGCTGTTGACAAGGGACGCCACTAAGGCGGAAGGATAGCAACTTCTTTGGGCACCGGAGAAAGCATTGCAGGGAGGAGCCAGGTGAGGCACCTCTACCTGGAGGTCCCCAACTCTGCAATGGAACGTGATGGCCATGACCACAGCCAGAAGGTGTGTCCGTGTGGCCCGAGCCTCAGACTGCAGCTCTTTATTTCGCGTGCGAATGGCCCCCCAACCCCAGCAGATGCAAACAAGTTGTGCGATGCTTTCCAAAGGAGGAAACCACATACCCGTCTGTGCAGAATAAAATATAATAAAAGTAAGTGCAAGAAGAGTTGTTCATCTGCTAAATCAGCAGAAGTAGTCACAGCCAGCAGACGATCCGCCTAATTATTTTTCTGAGAAATGCGGTCACGGGCTCCAGGACCCTTCTGAAACCACACGCGTGGGGCTCGGACCAGGCGAGAGGCGCCCTGTGAGGGAACAGTGACTTGATCATGAAGCTACTGGCTCTCCGATCCACCTTGTTATCATTAACGCCCCACGAGATACGAATGAACAGGTTACAGTAATTGGCCTCAGATGATGAATGCTGCCTCTCATTTTTTTAGTTAAAATTTTCTGTGCAAATTAACTGCAGCCATTGTAGCAAACATCTTCATAAAACTACAAAAAGTAACCTGTGGCTCCAGTGATCTAGAAATCGACAACAGGGCAGGGGAGACAGCACAGACCTTGGCCCCCCTGGACTGGCTCTTTCCTCCCTGTGGCCCCGGGGTGGGGGCATCTGTAATACTTTCAACAATTAAGATAAAAATAATGGCCCCCCCCCAGTTGCTCATCATGTTGTAATACGTAAATGAAATCCAAGGGAATTTAATTTCCTGAAAGAAAGCGAATGAAACCACAATGAACTGTCACCTCACACCTGCTAGAATGACGGCTATGGAAAAGACCAGGAATAATAAGCACTGGGAAGCACGTGGAGAAAAGGGAACCCTCGTGCACTGCTGGTGGGAATGTCAATTGGTGCAGCCACCATGGAGAACAGTGTGGGCATTCCTCAAAAAGTTAAAAAGAGAACCACAGTATGATCCCACGTTTCGCTAAGTCCCGAGGTGGTGCCGCTGCTGCTGGTCCTTGTAACCCACTGGGTATTCATCCTGAGTAAAGGCAAACATTCTCTCAAAGAGACATCGCATCCCATGGTTACTGCAGCATTATTTACAATGACCAAGACAAGGACGCAACCTGGGTGTTCCCTGGTGGCTGAATGAATGAAGAAAACTTGGTATCTATACAATGGAATATCATTTAGCCATAGAGAGGAAGGACATCCTGCCATGTGTGACAACATGGGTGGACTTGGAGGGCCAGATGCTGAATGAGATAAGAGACAAAGCGGAAGACAAAGACGGTGTGGTCCTACTTACATGTGACATCTAGAACAATAAACACCTCCTATGTAGAGAGAACAGACTCGTGCTTGTGGCGGGAGAACAGGGGGAAGTGGGTGAAGGTAGTCAAAAGGTACACACTTTGAGTTATAAAACAAGTCCTGAGGATATAAAGTACAGCATGATGACAATAACTGATAGTACTGAGCTGTATATTGAAAGTTGCCAAGACAGTAGATCTTAAGTTTTCATCACCCCCCCAAAAAAATTTTTTTTTAATCTGTGTGATGGTAAGTGTTAACTAGCATTACTGTGGTGATCATTTTGTAATATCTATAAATACTGAATGAATCATTATGTTGTATACCTGAAACCAATACAACATTTCATGTCAATCAATATCTTGATTAAAAATAAGGCTCCGCACAGAGGATTGACTGATGGGTCCGCAGTGAAATGAAACTAGACCAGTCAGGAGGCTACTGCCGTGACTCAGGGCAGAGACAAGGGTCTGACTAAGAAACTAGCAGCTGGGATGAGGACGCAGAGACCGTCACCGCTATTAAGGCTTCAGAACCCACAGAACTTCCTCCTTCACAGGATGAGGATGGCGAGATAAAGGATGGTCCTTAGAGCAATCCCTTTACTTCTGCTTTAACACTGACCGGGTGGTGGCACTCGTCACCAAGTGAGGACACACGGAAAGATTGGAAGAGAGGCGACACACCAGTTCTGGGTGAGTTGAGATGTACGTCCCGGAACACCAGGGATACGCCCAGGGAGTAGCTGAATAGGCCAGTCTGTGCTGGGAGTGGGGAGGCGGAGGGAGCTGTAAGGACTCAGGTGGAGGTGAGGTCTGTAGTTCGCAGTATACAGGCGAGTACAATCCCACTGAGAAGTAAAACGAATGGAAGCCACAATCTCAAGATCACCAACCTCAGAGGAACTGGAAGAGAGGAAAGAATCCGCACCGTTTAACAGGAGGACTACTCCAGAGACAGGACCAAAATCAGGAGAGTACTGGAAGGAAATATAACAAGAAATTCAAGACAATGGAAGATAATATCAGAAATTCAAGAAAGAGGAAATGATTGACAGCATGAAATGTTTAAGGGAAGTAAAAAAAGAATCAAACTGTATCTATTAAATGTAACACATCACTGTCGACCTCAGCAGAACATTTCCATGGTGAAGCAGGTACGGTACCAAACTTGTTTTAATATATTTGAATGGTAGAAAGACAACAAACAGTGATGTGAAATATTTGTGTCTTAGTTTAGCAGAGAAAAATCCCAATGAAAATTAAACATATGTGAAAAATATACAGAACTTCAGATGATTCGTCCATGTGTAAATCTAACAACTGAAAGCTACCCAGCTGGACAGTAAATATAACTCACACGCCTTTATAAGCGTACATGAATATTAATAGTGGCGCTTGATATAAAAATAATCATATACGATGTGTTTGTATACAGATAGTTTGGATAGGATAACATTAGTCCATCAAATAGATTGACTGCCTGGTGGTGTAAGGATTGGAGGCAGGCTTTCAATTTCGTACGTGGCTTATGAATTCATGCATTTTCTGTGCTCCTGTATGGAAGGATATTGCTTCCCACCTAGAATTAATTTTGGAGCTGACACATCAAGTATGGAGGCTTAAACGGTTGTGATTTTGGCAAGCTGACAGACTAAAACACATTTTCTTGTAACTGGAAGTGACATAATGAGAGGCTGGTGGAAATGAGTCAGGTACGCTTATGTGCATCTATTGGAAGAAAAAGCAAAATGGCGCACAGGGAATTCTATAGTATCCTATGTTGTTTCCATAAATTCAGCTTTTTTGAGTTACAATTCAGGTACCAGTTTACATACGATTTCTTCTGAGATGCTTTCTTGATTACCCAAATGCAAACAATGATTCACAGTACTATTTTAAAATTATCTGTTTCTTTCCACCTATTTCTGCATTTATTTAAGATTCCTTTTTCCTACAAGGTAGTCAATAAATATTTAGTGTGTGCGCACACACACACTCACACACACACGCAAAGTAGAAGCAATTTAGAATCATGTAGAAATGTGTAAATTAACATAATCGTTGTCAGACCAGTAGGAAATTGGAGCTCTAATTGTAGAATTTGGTAAATAATAATGAAAATACCTTAGAGAGATAGTCAAACTGTTATTAGCTAAAAAGATGTGGCCTCGATTTAACTACAAAAAGGATGTGTGTGTGTGTGTGTGTGTTTTATTTTCAAGCACTAAATACATCACACAAATTTTCTAAGGTTGATTACTTTTCTAATTTGCCAATATATCTTTTCATATTATTTTCTAAAACATTGATTATTTTTAGCCTTTTAAACTAAATTAAACTCTTCTTATAGTTTTATTCTCCTATGGATTCTCAATTATGTTAATTAGAGAATTACCTAAAAAGCCATTTCGAAATCCATGAGTGTCCACAATTATCTGAAATAAGTATTCCTCTCTCCAGTGTTCAAAATATAAATAACAATTTAAATGTGTTTTGAAGGTAGACAACGGAATTAAAATTTTCAAGTAAATCAAAGAACAATCATGTTGTGTAAAATAAGTCCTTTGTGCATATAAATTTCACCAGAGATTGTTAAATCACTACTCAATGATGAGACCAAAAAATCTTATTGTAATATGGCAACTGCTGTTTACCTTTGTCACATTCTAAAGTTAATCGGCTAAATCGAAAATTCCATCTTTGTGGAGAAAATATGTTGAGGCAGGCGTGGGTGGGGTGATACTTTTTTATACTTTTTCACGGACAGGCTATCATTGGAAAGTGAAAGAAAGATGATGCTGACATGCGGAGGGAGGCAGGTGTGCCAGGTGTGACAGGCATTGGGGGGGCTTCCGGAGGAGGGAGAAACAGAGCATTGGGCATTGGGGTGGGGGCGCAACGTGGTGGTGGTGTGGGCAGACCGGGTAAAGATCTTCAAATTCTGGTGAAAAGAGCTTGAAATTCCCTGTTTTGTTTTAGGTGGGGGAGGGTCATGGAAAGGGAAGGGAAGCTTTGATCGAGAGAACGAAACGTACAGTTTCTAAAAGGAAAAGTAACCTCCGTTTCACTTGAACAGGTCATGACAGACAGAGGAGTCCCCTGAGAACATGACAGTGAGGTTGCAACAGTGACTCTATTTCTGTTTGCAACTGACAGGAAAACAACCGAACAGGAGCATGCTTCATCTCACGTCAACAAAGGCAGAGTGACTCCATTAGTTGGTACATCTAACAGTTCAAGAAGCTCATCCAGGCTGGATGCTCATGTTTCTGTGCTGCTCAGTGGGTGGCCTGTGTTCATCTTCACAACTGTCTCACGCTCCCCTCTGACAGGTGCTTATGCATCTCTGCCTGTTGAACTCAGGCATGTTCATGGGACTTCCTTTGGTCCATGCAATTAAGTAAGAGGGCTGTTGGTCATGTCAGGTATCGAAAGAACATTATTTACCATGCCCCCTGATTCCTGCCACTGATTTCTGTGCCACCGGGTTCCTCCGTCACTTTGTGTCATAGGAAGGACATGTAGATGAATTTAATGAACGTTGGTCTTTGACGCCAC